AAAAAAAGAAACAACAGCAAATGAAAAGAAAACGTAAAAAACACCAGATTCTGCTGCTGCTGCTGCTGCTGCCACTGAGTTTAAGCGAAGAAATAAATCAGTTGAGGATACTATTGCTGTATTTCACAGGTGTCGACGCAAACTTCAAAATAACGGTTGTACTTAAGTGGCTTTACTGAGATGAAGTAGTTATCAAGCTTCTTGGAAATTACTGATTTTTTTAAACCACAGCTTTTTTCTTCTCTGTTGTTTACGTTAAATTTAATAACAAAATGGTCAACTTCTTAATAATTATAATTTGTAAGAAAAATATTCTTCAATTTTTATTATAATCCTGATTATATTTCACATCTTACAGTAAACCTTCTTTAGAAGAGAAATACTGAAAATTTGATCGTGAGCTGTCATTACCATTGTTTCCAGTCAGTGACAATTATAGGAGCATCGATCTACATATATAATCCAAATTTGAACATCTTCAAGGTTTCTTTTTCAAGATTTTGTTTGTTTAGTAGTGAATCAGAAAACTATTTCTTCCCTAATAAAGCGATGGTGTGCTATAAAATTTAAAATAAAAGCAAGAGCTATGACGTATCGTTCTTTTATGGCGGTTATTGTCTGGCTGGAAAAAGCAGCTTTTCCTCTGACAATTAATAAGGTAGATTCTTACTTTCACCGCTTGACGGCCAGAGCACATTATTTTATCCTTGAGCTGGAAGACTAATTTAACACTAAATTCTATTTCTACACTTCATCCAATCTTCAAAACTTTTTAACGTCGTTTCAGATATTTAAACAACTTTTGATCACGCTATCACTAAGAACGATCAAGCACAGTGCAATAGAAGGAAACTGGCTGCAGATGCAGCTCAAGTACCTCTGTCTCTTGTATACATTTCTCATCGATGTTTCTTCCTTTACAAGTTCTGCCAGTTTCAGCTAAGACATTAAACAATAAGTAAACATTCTTGAAAAAAGACTAAAAATTATGTTGTCAGCCTTAAGTAGCCTCATACAGTCTGAAATTTGTTTTGTTTTTTATTTGTTTTTTAACTGAGAACCTGCACAGAACGAAACAAACGTTCAGAAAAATACCTTTTTTAAGGTAAATTAAAAAACTCAAGATTGTTCTGACATAAATAATTTGTAGTGTAAGCAAAATACTGTCGGGATGTGTGAATGAGCAATTTGTTGGTTTAATTACAGATTAGAAAAAAACTTCATTTCAAAAAGAACACAGTCTTCCTCTTCTCTATTGTTTACGTTAATAGGCTTTGAAGTGATTTGATCGTCAAAATTAAAAAAAAAAAATTTTTCTGAGGTAAACAAATAAAGATAAATAGAGATATTCAGCGAGGCAACAATCCTGATTTTCTACTCGCTCACTGATCGCCGCGTCGATGACAAAAAAGTATTGAAATAAAAAAACGACCTGAGCGCCATTGTTGTTTGACATAAATTGTCGTTAGAGCACGACAACTACTTTAAAAACAACAACGATAACAACGATCTTATAATAATAACAAACACATAGTAATAATGATAACAAATAAAAATAGTAATTAACAATAAAAGTAATAACATCAATAATAATAATAATAATAATAATAATAACTACAATAACAGTGTAATAATAATGACAACAGAAGTGATAGCAGCATTTACAGAAGTATTAGTAAAATAACTAATGATATATCAACAACCAAAATAATTGTATTAACAACAATACCAGTTTTAACACTAATACTGAAACTGATATTGATCTTAACACGAAGATCAATATTAATATTAAAATTGATATTGACACCAAAACTTATTTTAATATTTATATTTATAAATATGTCTAAATTTATGATTATACTCATAATTACAAATATACTTACGTTAAAACTGATACTGAGATTAGTAAGAACAAAAGCAATAATAATGTTATAAATACTGCTGATCTTATTATTACTAAGACCGCTATTTTTCTCATT